ATTAAAACAAATTCACTTGTCTCGTATTTCTAATCGTATTATCAGAAAGGAGTGTCTGACCATATTCATTCCGTATCTTGGTATGTACTGGTTCATTTTGCTGGTTTGGGTAGGCCACTAGTATTAAAATAGTCTGATAAGGGTGGCATGCTTTTATACTTCCCATTTCCGCAACCTGAGCTTTATACTGACTGAGCTAGAGTTACTGTGGATACAGATTAAAGCCATTGATGTTTATATACCACTGTACATATTTAATAGGATCCACCCACCCCTCTAAAAGCTATTATATCCACATGTAACTAAAAAAAAAAAATGTTTTGGCGCCCTCTGGAGTTTGACTCAAAAAATTAAAAAAACAACAACTTCTGTTTGAAAACTCGTTATGTTATTTAAAAACTTTGGGCATTCATGAATTATTTAATTAAATTATCAAGAAATGTCAGTCATGCACTGGATGTTTATTCCGATTATTAGTCAAAGAGGAAAATAGATGAATCATGAATTATAAAAATATTCCACCTCACATTAGTGAAAATAGTTTTACGAATTATTTCATCAACGTCTCAAGTTATATTACTTCCTGTGTAAGGTAATGAATTCACATGGTTTTTAGTAAGCTAATCCGTCACAGGTAATCTAACATGAATATAATCCTATGTTACTGTGAAATTACGTGTTGTAAGAACACCCTGATCAGACTGTGTTTAACCTCTGCTCAGTAAAACACATATCATGTTTCAACCCCTATAGTATATTTGAAATAAACACCTTCCAACTGGCTTAGAATGTTTACTACTTTAGAGGATATTGATTAATGAGTCACGTTGTTCTCTCAAATTTTAATGTTCATTGCCCAAGGAAGATGTTTGTCTGACACATTCAGTACTCTTTTTGGCAATTAGCTTTCCGCTTAAAGTGAAATAAGATATTTTGCAGAAATTTGAGAATGCTATTACTTCAATTATAATGTAATCTCTGTCTCTTTAATTCAGAGTGGTGACTATCAAATTTACTTCAATACAATTGGTGTTTTCAATATGAGCTCACCTTGTTTTGCCCAAAAATTTATTGTGAAAATGCTGAAAAATAATAATAACCATAACCATAACATTTTTTTTTCTAGCGGAACCATTAGCAACCTAAATATGCATGATTTGTAATATGTCTTAATACTACATGATTAGTTCTTCAATGAAAATGCTGTCTGTCTTGACCTTTTTTTTGATGCAGTTGATGAAACAAAGTGAACTAATTCATTCGTTTTCAAAATTTCTAAATACTACCGTAAAATCTGTATAAGAAGTCGCATTGATTCTTTTTGAAAAATTTAGAAACAAAAAAATCACAATCTCATATGTGTAGATGCTCTAACAAAAACCGCATCCCCTCTGTTGCATTGTAGCATTTTAATAGAAATCACAGTTTCTATTTTTGTTCTTTTAAAAGCACATCTCCATCTCCAATTGATTGTATTTGTTGTATGCAGAATTATTAAAACATTACTTATTTTGACCATAAAAACTCCTCTATATTATTAAAACATTACTTATTTTGACCATAAAAACTCCTCTATATTATTAAAACATTACTTATTTTGACCATAAAAACTCCTCTATATTAGACCATTCTCTGTTCACTGCGAGATCTCGAGTTACGCCTGAAATCAAACATAAAAACAGGACAAAGAAGTTTATATTGGCAACGAAACATCGTGCAGGATTCAATTTTTTGGGGGGTTATTTCCACACTTAAAGGGGCACCTTCCAGTTGAGCCTAATCTCACAATAAATTTACTTTCTGGATTAAAATAACAATGGATAACAAAAGATAGATTAACATTGTAAACAACATAAACAATAGTGTCCCATGATTCTTTGGTGCAATCCCTGGGATTGAGCGGTTCCCCTTTAATAATGTTCTATACACATTTCTTTCTATAAGATTGACATTTTGACGCTGAACAATAAAAATAGTAATTCAAGCTCAAAATCAAATCATTCAGTTTTTGCAGCAGACGTTTGATCAGCCAGCGCCTTTCACACATGATGAGAGTTCTCGCGGATAGCAGAAACTCACCTATTAACATTAGTGCATGTGCTAATAAAGCAAATAA